CCCCAGCGAGCTCTCTGCCCAGGCTGGGCAGGCATGGACCAGGCGCTGTGGCGTTCCCACTGACAAGGGGCAGCCAGTGGGACACCCTGCTCTATATCACAGGGCAGCTGTGGGTCTGCGGATCTCGTTCCAACCCTCGAGTCCCTCCTCTGACTCCTCCAGGAATCCAGCTCCAGCCTGGATGCAGGCTTGCTCCATCTCAGCCTCCCACTGCTGTTGCTGTGTTGCCTCGCACGGTTGCCATGGCAATGCCCCTGGCTACCAGGATACCCATTGCTGCTCCAGAATTCTCTGCTTAGGCAGAGCAACTCTCCCAGCAGCCCGCCTAGAACACCTCCCCTAACCATGGTATGATCGTAGCACGTGGTCTGCAAAGTCGGACACTGGCCTCTCCAGTCAAGTGAGCAGGGGGAGAGGGTGGGGACAGGACCTGGTGCCAGGCAAGCGCCCACGGGTCAGGCCATCACAGCTCAGGGGACCACACTCCAGCTCAACTTCTCCCTAGCCACAGTGGAGAAGGACCGCATCCCAGCACACAGACCTCTTCTTTCCCAAGAAGCAAGGTCTCCCAGTTCAGCCAAATAGGGGTCAAGGGTGGGAAGGTCCCCTTGGTGAAGAAGAAGGGAATGGGGTCATACTGCCAGAGTTAGAGCTGTGTGGGAGGAGGGAGCACTCGAAGTTTCCAGAAGCCCTTCTTCAGAGGACTCCAAAGCCAGTTTGAAATCCCCACCTACAAGCCAGTAGGAAAGGCGAGGCAGAAGAGGAGCCAGGCACCTTGGGTCTTCTCTGGCTCAGACCGTCCCTGGCTGACCCCTGAGCTCTCCTGCCATTGCATCCAAGTGCTAATCCATCAGGAAGGCCCTGGCCTCAGGAGCTGGAGAACTAAGAACCCACCTGCCTAAACTTTGCCCAAAGGGCAGGAGTGAAAACTGTCAGAATTCCAGAGATGCACAGCCCCATCCAGGAATTACAAGGGGGTTTTGAGAAATGGGGTCCAAGGTTTCGAGTTGAGTCTCCCACCCCAACTAGGCGAAGCACACAGCCTGCATCTCCTGCCACAAACAAGGCCCAGATGAGCCAAGCATTCCCTCTCTGGTCTAGGATGACTCAGGGCAAGCCAGCCCCACACTGCGACCAAGCTTACTACGGCCCTCTTCCACCCACAGCCCCAGCCGGCCGAGGGAGCTTTTAGAAGGTGAGGCACATAGCCAGTGCTGCAGCAGCCTCTGCTGGCCACCCTGGCCTTCCACACATGGCCTAGGGCTGAAGGGAAGGCTAGGGCCTCCAGTCACGTGGTCTAGGATGACTCAGGGCAAGCCAGCCCCACACTGCGACCAAGCTTACTACGGCCCTCTTCCACCCACAGCCCCAGCCGGCCGAGGGAGCTTTTAGAAGGTGAGGCACATAGCCAGTGCTGCAGCAGCCTCTGCTGGCCACCCTGGCCTTCCACACATGGCCTAGGGCTGAAGGGAAGGCTAGGGCCTCCAGTCACGCTTCCATGAGTGCAGCAGCCTCTGCTGGCCACCCTGGTCTTCCACACGTGGCCTAGGGCTGAAGGGAAGGCCAGGGCCTCCAGTCACACTTCCATGAGCTCCTGCTGGCCACAGACAATCCTGGTTCCCACCTTTCGTCTCAGCTGAATCATTAACAGCAAGCACATGCACGCGTGCACACATATACTCAACTCTCAGATGTATCCCAGTGTGGACGATAAGGCAAACGGTCTCTGACCACAGCCAAGTTCAAGTCCCAGAGAGCTTGGGGCTCAGGCAGAGAAACCCTGAGCTGGAGACCAACGGCCCTCTCTCCAGCTCCCACCAGAGGGAAAGTTACTCCCTTTCAGCCAGCTCCAGCAGGAGATTCCGAGTCCCCTGTTCTGAGCTAGGGCATGGGCATCCTGGCAGTCCTACGGGGGAAAGAGGGAAAGCAGACATTGCTTTCAGAGAAGAGCAGGGGCCACAGGATGGGAGGAAGCACACGGGAGCAGAGTGCTAACACTGCATGCGTCCAGCAGATGGCAACCCCAAGCAGCTGCTTCAGCACACCCCACTGGGGCTGGGCGGCCTCCTGGGCTGGTTGCCTCCTAGGGCTGTGGGAGAGCCTCTACCCTCCTGCCAGGAGAGTTACATGGGTTGATTCGGGGCTCGTCTGATACTACACATGTGACAAGCAAGCAGCCCAGCCAATCAGATACCTGCACTAGGAGCCACGTGGGGGCCCTGAAGGCACAGGGGCTCATTCTCTCTGAGTAACCACCTCCAGACTCATTCATTCATTTTAGAGAAAGAGCATAGGCGTTGGTAGGCCGGAGTCTTCAGCATTCATGTCCCCATCCACAAAATGGAAACATTAGCATCCCTATGGGTGGGTGGTCATGAGAGCAACGTCTGTACAGCACCTGTATTAGTGCCCACGAGAGCGCCAAATCAATGAGCTTTAGTTCTGGAGTGTGAGGCCTTGAGCTGGGAGGGAAGATTTGAACGTGAATGAGAGTTCCTCATCACAGGAACCCTCGGTACACACAAGAGTACCCTAACTTGTCTTTCTTTTCTTTTCTTCTTTTTTTTTTGGGGGGGGAGAGGTTTTCGCTATAGGGTGCGTGTGCTCGCCAGACAGACAGAGAGAGACAGAGAGACAGAAAGCGAGAAATCACCCCCCAGGGGGGATGGCCACACCGCAATCCCTTCTCCTCCATGCTCCTCTTGAGATCTTGGGCACGCACACACACGCGCCCTGCATGAGCTTAAGCCACTGGGTCTGGGACTCAAACCACAGTCAACTATGTGGGAGCCCAGCGACACAGCCATTACACTAACTGCTGCTCCCCCTAAGTTGTCTTTCAAGTGCATGGAACTCGGAGAAAGGCTGAATTGGTGAGTAGACCCTGTACCAGGGCAGCACAAGAGTTTGGATTCCGAGCTCCTAAGGAGACAGGTCCCTTCTGGCCTACATAACCTGGGGGTCTCGCATCACCTCAGATGGCTACTCGGTCAATACCTTTTCTTTAGTTCAGATAGGAGGACTTTCCAAACTCATCCTCTCCAGCATGAGCTGGGGTGCGCCACACCAGCCTAGCCTACTCCGGGCCACGAGAGAAGGAGTAGGCCCAGATGAGCCCCACTGTAGCCGCCTCCTCTCTTGTACCAAGGAAAACCAAGATAAGGCCCCACCACCTTTCACGTGGAGAAAGTGTAAAAGAACAACAAAGGGGGGTTTCCAGAGGCAAGAGGCAACTACATCTGTTCAAAACACCAACTGCTCAAATAAGGGATGGAGCGAGGGCTGAAGGGGGCTTCTGCTTCTCTCACAACCTGTGTGAAGGAGACATGAGGACTTTGACAGCAGTTAGCACGGCGGGAAAACGTGGTGTGGTACAAGAACCGCAGGGCTGATTCACCCTAACTAGGTTGACCAAGGCAGTGTCCAGGCCAACTGGACTCCGAGCACAGCCCCTTGAGTATGATGGCCCAACCTCGCTCTAACTGGAGTGAGTTCAGAGACGACAGCGTGGAACTTGACATCCTGCTCATAAAGGAAAATTGAAAGAACTGGAAAAAAAGAAAAGAAAAAGGTCAGGGCCAGCCCAGCAGGTGGCATGGAGGTTAAGGCACTGGATCCCACATGAGCAACTACACAGTTCAAGTCATGGACCTGGTGGCTTAAAAAACATGCCAGGCACATGTACGTGCATGCCCAAAATCCTGAGAGGAGAACAGAGAAGGGATTGTGGTGGGGCCATGCCCCCAAGAGTGCTTTCTCCAGGGTCTAGTAGCTTTCTTCTAAGGTCAACACACCTGTAACACTACTTTCTGAACATAAAGCCAGTGAAGGGAAGAAATGTTTTACTGTCAGCCGTTTGAACACAATAGATCCCAAAAACAGTCTGCTTCAGGTTCACTGACCCACATCGCCCACGACTACAGGATGGCACAGGTTCAGAAACCGAGTTGCTCTGGTCTCTTCAGTCTGGCCTGAGCTCTGTTTATGACTCTTCAAGAGTTATTTATTTTATTTTATTTATTATAAATAATGGAGCGGGTGGGGGAGGGGGTCAGCAGTTAGTGTAATGGCTATGTTGCTGGACTCCCATGTAGTCGACCACGGTTTGAGTCCTGGACCTGGTGGCTTAAACTCACACCAGGCGTGTGTGCGTGCATGCCCAAGATCCTGAGAGAAGAATGGAGAAGGGATTGCAGCATGGCCATCCCCCCTGGGGGTTGACTTCTTGTTTTCTGTCTCTCTGTCTCTCTCTGTCTTTCTGGCAAGAGCATGTTCCCTATAGCAAAAAACCTCTCCAAAAAAAGAGAGAGAAAAAAACAAAGTGAGAAAGCAAGCTGCCAGGTCCAGGACTCAAACCACAGTCAGCCATGTGGGAGTCTAGCACCTTAACTGCTATGCTACTTGCTGGCCCCTCTGTTTATGACTCTGGAGATCCACCTTGACAACCCCCTCCAAAGTTAGCTGTAGGCACCCCTCCAGGCCCTCTCCACTGACCACCACCATCCTTGTCTAGGGTCCTTCGTCCTCTTTCTCGTCTGCCTCTAGCACCGGCTGCCATGTTTGGTGCTGCTGTTAGATTGGGGTGGAGGAGAAGGAAGAGGCCCTCTGTAAGATGTATCTGTAAATGCGATTAAATCTTCTGCATGTAAGTTAATTTCCTGCTACCTTATTATGTAAAAAAGTGCCTACTTCCTCTCCTGTATACGTTTCAATACAAAACCCTCCTCCTAGTACAGTGACCCTGTGGTCCCAGGAAAGGAAGTATGTAGGGTCTGGGAAGAAAATGTATCCCAACACATCTGAAACTTCGTCACATAGAAGGGCTGTCTGTTTCAGTAAGCCCCAAGTTGAAGAATTCAGGCACACTGTTAGGCCACAGAGAAAGACAATGAGAATAGTTAGAATTGCTCAGGAATGGGATGCCTACGACCGTGCCTCAGAAGGACAGAGTGGAAGGTGTGGGAACACAGAAGAGAATGGCATTTCACAGCAACGTGGTTTGTCAGGGATCCCAGCGCTCGAGTGAGTGCGAGGGTCAGCTCCCGCTGACACCCTCCACTCTGATTCTAGGTGAGTATCGTTCACACTGACTTTCCATGGGACCGGAGGTGGGCACAGCAGTTGAGCTCGTAAGCTGATGGAAAACACTTCGTGGGGAACGTGGAGTGACTAGAAGTCCCTTAAGGCATGTTCCGACTCAGATTCCTATTTTGTGATTCCAGGTCCTGAAAGGGAGCCAGCTACTGGCATATCTACACAGCTGACAAGATGCAGCTCAACCCTCGGTCTCAGGACAACACCTGGTACGTGTGTGTGCGCGTGTGTGAATGTGTGTGTGGTGGGTGAGGGCAGGAAAGAACAGACATCTGAAGGGCCAGAGCATGAGTACACATACATGCACACACACACGCACATGCACACACACACGCACACTCACTCACTCACAATGGAGATCCAGAGTAAGACCTGCAGTTTGTGGCGGAGACAAGGCCCAGCAACATGGAGGTCCAAGCACTTCCACAACCAGCTCATGTCCTAGCTGCGATCCCAGCAGTCTGTGGCTGGGGACACAGCCTCTTGCGCCTCCTCTCCCCCCAGCCAGCGCAGCAGCTTTCTCATTCAGAGAAGGCCCACGGCAACCTCAGACACCACGCCTCAGAACCAACACCCATTTGCCAAAGCCCAGATGCCCACGTGGGAGCTTGGGAACAGAAGGCTGAGTGGAAATGCTTCTGCCCATGGGACCCAAAAGGCCAGTGGGCCAGAGTGCCCCTCTGCCATCTCTGTGCACTTGGTGACTGGTGACTGTGAGCCGAGTGTGCTCTGGTCATCCCACCACCCAGTATCCCCTTCTCACTGGCCCCCCTCACCCCAAAGCTCCTCATCTCTGCTTCCCTCCCTCAGATGCAGGGTAGACAGGCAGAGGATTCAGGAGGTTCTTGTCTGGGGTCCTGCTCAGACCCCAGGTGAGCCCTCCCCACAGAGTTCTCCTGGTCTGCTCTTCACTACCACTGCAGCCCTGCCCCCACTGCAACCACAGTAAAATGGCCCTTGGTGGCCAGCTTTCTCCCTCCCCAGACCCACCGCAGGACACCCACCCACTCACCCTACTCTATCCCGCCACATTACACCAGCCAGTTGAAAATGTGACTTTCTTCACTAGCAAACAACTGCCCATCCTCTCTGAATCTCCCACCTGGACTCACGAACTCTGAATCTGGGGTTCTACTTGGTCCAAAGCATAGCCGGTGATGAAAGCCACCCTCCCGCCCTCTTCAAGGTCCTGTGGGTATGGCCTTCCAGCTTTGGAGCAGCAAGGGAACAAAACCCCTGACTCAGCTCTACCCATCCTGTGCTTCTAGAGACTTCTCTCTCCTGCCCCTTAGGAGACATAGACACCAGGGCAACTGCGCCAAGCCTGAGGGTGGCGTGCCCTCCTCTCCGGAGTTCCACCAGTCTGACCAGGAGACCACCACTGAGCAGCTTCATTGTAAGCAACCGGAAAGAACCAACCAATTAGCAATGTTCACTTAGAATGACTGCTTCTGCAGCTGGCTCAGGTGGCATATGCCTGTAATCCCAGCTACTCTGGAGACTGAGGCAGGAAGATCATGAGTTCAAGGCCAGCCTTGGCAACATAGCAAAACCCTGCCTCCTTATAAATAACATAAGGCTTTCAAGATGTCATATGGAACCAGCCCCACAGAACGGTGTAGAGTCCATATGGTTGACCACGGTTCAAATCTCAGCACTACTGGCTTGAAAATCATGCCAGGCACGTAAGGGTGTGTGTCCCAAATCCTGACAGGATGAAGAAGTGGAGAAGAGGTTGCAGTGTGATCATGCCCCATTTGGGGGAGGGCGGTACTTTCTCCCTCTCTGTCTCTCTGTCTCTCTGTCTCTATCTCATTCACTTGTACACTCACCCTCTGGCAATTAAAAAAGGATATGTCCTTCAGTGCAGAGACCCAGCACCCTCCCCATCCCCCCACCAGTTACTGACCCAACCTCAAATAAATACAAACTGGGTCCTGGTGGACGCCAACAGCACCTACCTCTCCCCTTCAGCTTCTCCCTCTCTGTCTCTCTGTCTCTCTGTCTCTATCTCATTCACTTGTACACTCACCCTCTGGCAATTAAAAAAGGATATGTCCTTCAGTGCAGAGACCCAGCACCCTCCCCATCCCCCCACCAGTTACTGACCCAACCTCAAATAAATACAAACTGGGTCCTGGTGGACGCCAACAGCACCTACCTCTCCCCTTCAGCTGGGCCACAGGTAACGAGGGCTGCCAGGAGGGGGTCGGGAAGACTCACTGGGATGAGGTTTATCTTTCCTACCTTCCTAATTCTGAAAGAATTTAAAGTCATATAGTTCAGGCACAGGCTCTCCTGGGGCCGGAAGACCCCGCCTGCCTCACTCTTCAGAGAACACAACCCTCAACCCCACCCAGCAGGAGATGCTGGCTCCTGAGAGCAGCAAGCCTGGAGTTCAGGTGAGGCCAGGAGTGAGATGGAAGTGGGGTCAACAGGGCCTGGCACGTGAACCAAAGATGCAGCAAACACTCTCCAAACACTATGCTAGATAGTTTATTTCAGATCTTCTCAATGACCCAGAAAGGGATCTATTACCCTGATTTTTTTAATTAGGAAGTTGTGTCTCAGGTGCTAGAAGGGGACATCTGCCCAGTTTCTGATGGACTCTCACTCTAGAAGACACACCCCCCACCTTCCCCTACTCAGCCTCAATAATGAGGGGAAGGTCAGAAGGACCCCCTCTGAACAAAGTGACCTTTCCACTAGGGGGAGCAGTTGCAGAACGCAGCCTTGCAGAAGTCGGACTCCCCAGAGGAAATAGCCCCAGGAAATATTAAATATCGCTTGGAGCCCCTTCCCACAGCTCCACTCCAGGTGGCGCCTCCAGGCTCCTTCCGCCAGTACTTCAAGCCTCGCTGGTTCCCCTTGGGTACCACCCACGGAGAAAGTTTCAAGCCGTGGAAGATAGAGCCTGTGGCTTACTGCAGGGAGAAGTCCTCCCATTCAGGTGAGACAGGCTGTGTGGTGCAGGTAATGGGGACAGAGCTGCACAAGGCGAGCTCTGAACTCTCTTTTCCAAACCCACTTTCCATCTCCCCGCCCAGGGGCACTCCCGTCCCTCAGACAGATCCCAATAGTGGGAACCACCAACCCAGAAGGATACAGGAAGAAGCGAGGATCCCAACCTTCTGTCTTTAAGAGCTCTTCGGGCATTATTTGGCTACAAGGTCAGCCAGGGTCTCTCTGGGAGAACACCACATCCACTTCCCCATCTTGGCCTTCCCTTCCTCCCTGCTCCCAGCTGGCAGCCCTGCAGTCCAGCTTTCAAAGCAGATAATCCAAAAGGGACTGCAAGCCACTCTGAGATTCCACATCAAAGACCCTCCGTGCTGGTTTGGGGGAGACAACCCAGAAGGTCAGAGTGGTAGAAGAGGCAACAGAGGCCTATTTGGGGGCCTACTCTCCCCATTTTATAAGAAAAAGGGCAGGGGAGGGGCAGAAACAAGACAAGGCTTAATGGAGTTGAGCAGGAGCTGGGCGGGAGCCAAGGCAGGGGTCCAGAGTCCCCATCTCTGATCCCATGACTTTCCTCTGTACATCTTGCTCCGTAGGTGACCATGACATGACCACGACTCGTCAGATTTCCTTCCAGAGACCTCTTCTTCGTCAGCCGATATTCCCTGTTCATACTCCTGGCAGAAAAGTGGCATCAATATTGCGTCCAGGCCACGTGGAGTACAACAGTCAGTCTCACAATGTCTTCCAAGGCCCCGGGTGGAGACAAGTCCTCCCACCGGACCCAGACAAGAGCAGCCAGGCGATCCAGTGAGTAACCAGACATCTGGCAAATTTGACACAGAGTAATCAGGGTTTTTTGTGGGAGGTAGCCCAGAGGAGGGCTCTAATTCCCAAAACAGAAGTAATAACTTCAGAACTCAAACATCTGTCCATGTCACAGACATAACTGTAGAAAGCAAGCGTACAGAACTAATTATTTTGGAATCTTAGTTTTCCTTCTAGCTCAGTTTTACTTAATCTCCCACCTCTAAGATTTAAGAAAGAAAAAATGGCATCTGCTCATCACAACTGGGGGGTCAGCCCCCTCCCCATACATCCATGAGAGACGTGCACCCCATTTGCAAGCCAGGAGGCGGAATAGCCAGGCTTACCCAGTGCCCACGGAAGTGTGGAGGATTGGGCATTCTACTTGCTTGTCCTTGTCAAGGCTTCTCCCCTTACTAAAGGCTGCTGGTGAAAGGGCTCAGAGTAGCCCTGCACATCGTCTGACTCCTGCGGCCAGGTAGCAGGCCCAGTTCAAATCAAAGCCGACAATATGTGACTCACAACCACAGGCCCATTCCAATGGTGAATGAAAGGATAATCTTCACCCCGAAGTGACCAGAGACACAAACATAGTGAAAAAGACAGGTCTTCCCATCAGCAAACATGTCCAAGCTCCTGTTTCCCAAGATACAATTATATCTCCATTTTTAAAAAATGTTTATTATTAAACATGAGAGAAACATGCAGAGAGAGATGCCCCCCCCCACCAATGTGGTCTCCACACCATGATCCACCCCCAGTCTCAGGCGGCCTGGATCACAGGTACACATGCACTTGGTGTGCCCAGGGAGGCCCTAGGACACGAACCCAAGACCTTCCCCAAGTGTGTTCAGCTGCACCCAGACCCCATTCTCTTAAGCTGCAGTCTCTAGCTACCTAATAGGGTGTTTCAGAAACGCTCCCCATGGGCCTATCCTTCAGCTGCAGGTGTCTCATCCCCTCTGCTGAGCCATAGCATGATAAGTAAGTAGTGTGAAAAAAAAAAAAAAAAACCAGATAAGAAAAGCTAGTCTTATTTTCAGAGATGCAATGAAGAAATTTAAATTTGATTTTAATTTGTACCTGAAAACACATGACATGGTTTAGGCAAACCCACAGATGAAAGGTAAAGAAGCAAGCTGGTGGCATAGTGCCCTCTGTCTGGTGCCTAGACAGGCTCACAGGGTGGACCTATTTTTCCCATGCAGCAAACATATCCAGCACTTACAGAGGGAAACTGCCCCTGACTGGCAGCCCATCACTCACCTGCTGGGCTGGCCAAGGCAGGGGATGATGACCATCCCGGGTGGGAGCAGCATGATGACGCCACACTGAGCAGGGTAAGGCCCTCAGGCTCTCCGCCAAGAGGGAATCAGTTGAGGGTCCTAGCTGCTCCTTCAGAAGTAGGGGCAGAAAGCAAGGGGAAAAGCCTACCCTGTCAGGATCTCCAACCCCATTTTCCTTGGCCACTGCAGAAATATGGGTTTCCCTAATCGGCAACCACTCGCAAACTGTTCTTACCCTGGCTCAGACATAATGTAAGTATGCACTTAAGGTATGCTTGATGCTCAGTGAGTACTTCATGAAGGCCACAATTAAAACTCTCACTGTTATCTTCCCAGACATGCATTCCTCTCTTCCCAGATGTCTTATCTACCTTCTCTCAAGTCCATGGTAAAAAGAGTCAAGGGTAAGTGCCCCGTTGACACACTTGGGGTCTTGAAAGCCAAGTTCCCAACGGAAACTACCAGCCAGCAATTCTTCCAGGACTGGGGAGCTCAGTCCCAAGTGCGCTTCGGACCTCACGAAAGAGGCTACGGAAAGGGCCTGGTAAGGACTGCTGTGGACAGGAAACGGCCCCTCAACCCTCCCCTCGCCTCTCACCTGGCTCCTAGGGTGAAGAAGTCTAGGGGAGGGAAGAGGAATCTGATGTTTCAGTTTGGGCTCCTTCCCAACTCAGAGCAATTGTGAGCAAGTTAACCCTCTCCACACAAGTGTTTCCTCAACTGCCAAGACAAAGAAAATGAGCCATGCTTACTAAACATGAGATTGCATTGTTCCCTGCAACAGAATAAAGTCACACTCCTCCTAGCTCCTTAGCTGAAGAGGGTGCTGAAAGTGATACACAGGAGAGAGTTAGCATTTTTTCGGCTGACTACCTCTGTCTCCTCCCAGTGGATGGGCTCCCAGGCTCTACCTGGAGATCAGACGACCACCAGGACCACCTACATGCCCCTGTTTACCGAGAGGGTGAAGCTGTGTCAGCCCCAGATCAATAGCATCAAGTCTGAGGCAAGCAGCTTCGCTACCAAGCCCAAGAAATCACTCAGGTACAGGGGAGAGATAGGGCCACGCCCAGAGGCAGTGACACAGACTGCAAGTGGCAAAGAAAACCAGTGTCAGCGGGGAGATGGGCCCCAGCTCCAGCCCAGCCCTATCATCTCTCTGATATTTTTCCAGGCCAGTCCAGGTGCCTGAAAGTCAGCTGCAGCAGCACGTGTGCCCGGAGAGCAGGTCAGGAGAAAGAGATCGCTTGGACAGCCTACGTGGAAGCACACGGTTCCATGCACACATGTCCTAAACTCAAACTGAGGACGGAGGTCTCCAGATAGCTACTTCACAGCCTGGCTTCAGCTCCCTCACTGGGCCCGCCCAGCCACACCCTAACCCTAAGCCGGCTTTCTCTGGCACTCATTAATTAGGGTGAGTCCACACTGTAACGTAAGGAAGCACTCTGCATCCTGGAAGGGTGGTGTGGTCCAGGAGGCAGGAGTGAAAAGGAAGTCATCCCGCAAACCGATGACTCAACAAGCCAGTGGCCAAGCATCAAGGCATCTTCAGTCACTACCAATAGTTCATTAAATCCTGCTTGAGCCAGAGTGTCTGCTCAGTGGTTCTTCTTCCTCGTTTTGCATGTTTTGAGATACTGTTCCCATACCACCAAGTTCACCCTTTGAAAGTGTCTGACTCAGTGGGATTCAACATTGCTCACTGCTTCTTAAGCCTCGACTTGGAGTAAGAGAGAAGGCGAAGGGAAGGAAGGTGAGCAAGAGGATCTGAAGTTGATAAAGTGAAAACAAAAACCTCCACATAGAGAAAGGGTCCCAAAGTTTAAATAAGGCAGTTTCAGATAAAAACCTAAGTACTAGGTTTCTTTCGTAAAAATCTTTACCAGGACCAGCAGTTGGCATAATGGCTATGTCGCTGGATTCCCATGTAGTTGACCGTGGTTCGAGTCCTGGACCCGGTGGCTTACACTCATGCCGGGCACGTGTGCATGCGTGCTCAAGATCCCAAGAGGAGAATGGAGGAGAATGGAGGAGAAGGGATTATGCCCTGGCCATCCCCCTCCCCCCTCACCCCAGAGGTGGTTTCTCACTTTCTGTCTCTGTCTCTGTTTTTCTGGCGAGCGCATGCACCCTGAAAAAAAAAAAAAAAAAATATATATATATATATATATTTACCATATTGTAGAGGAGTATGCTTCTGGAACTAAGGTAAAGATAGGAAGAGGAAGAATATGCAATTGAATACAGTCACCTACATCCTTGAGATTCTAAAGCTTACTATTTTGAAAAGTTTATACAGACCCAGGACCCTGCTTTCCTTACCAGAAAAGACAGATCACACTGCCCTCTAGTAGCCAGCCTGGAGAATGACAACCAGCCAAGAGACAAGGCTGGGGGTCTCTGCTCTACACCACATGCTGTGTCCTCACATTTAAAGAGAAATCAGAAGGGGAGAGTTTATAATTTTTGCCAATGCCTACTAAACACAGAACTCACCTGGAATAGAATCTATCTGCTTCCCCTTCACCTCAGTCTCTGCTTGAAACAGATAATAAATCCCTTTGTGGGGGCGGGGGAGGCAACTTGAAATGTCTAAAGTATCTGTGCGTTCTGCCGCCCTTCATTTTAGGCAGGTCTCACTGTGCCGTGATCCTCTCAAGTAGCTGGACTACAGCACGTGCCACCACCATGCCCTGGCTCTTTCAGACAGAGGCTCATTATGTTGCCCACACTGGTTGTGAACTGGCAATCCTCCTGCCTCAGCCTCCTGAGTAGTTGTGAGGCTACCGGCAGGTGCCAGGCACCCAGCTTGTTCAGGGTAGCAGGGGATCGACCCCAGGTCTCCCAGGTGGTCTCCGCCTAGGAGCAGCATCCACCAGTGTGCACTACCACGGTCAGGCCATTTGTGCCCCTTCCAGGAAGCTGTTTATAAGGAACATCTTATGGGGTACCCCAACACTCAAATTAAAACCTGAACCCCTGGGCCAGCCCTGTAGCCTACTGAATGAGGGAGCCAGATCCCTTGGGCCATCGCTTGGATCCTGGCCTTGGTGACAAAAAACACACCAAGTACACATGCACACATGTTCATCCAACAGGATGGAAACATTGCAGAAGGGATTGCGGTGTGATTTTGCCACACTAGGGGATGTTTCTCCCTCTCCCTCCTTGTTTCTCTCTCTCTCTCCCTCTCTCTCTCTCTCTCTCTCTGGTAAGCACATGCATCCTCTGGCAATTAACAAAAACAACAACAACAACAACAAAAACCTGAACCCTTACAGACACAAAAATCTAGCTGTACAGAAGAGACATGGCAATGGGTTAGGAACTAAATGTACTCACTGTTGCACAAGGAGAGGCTGGCTCGTGAAACAGTTTATGAAAGCACAATCTTAAAACCAGAAACAGAATACGATCCAGTGTCCACAGCCTGTATTCCTTGAGGCTTTATTTTAATATAAACTTTTTATTTTGGAATTTTATATTTACAGAAAGTTGTAAAGACAGTACAGAAAGTCTTATATACTCTTCACACAATTCCTCAAACAATAACATCTTACCCAAGGGGACTTGGAAATGCTCGTGAAAAAATGAAATTAAAGTACGAGTTTATTTTGGTGCAAAAAAAAAGTTGAAATCCATGCCGCTTTTTTCATAATACACACTTCTCATGGACTTTTTCATAATCTCTTATATATATAACATGCATACATATACATATATATGTACATATATGTGTTGTACATATATATATATATTAAAAAATGCCCCAAGTGAAAATGAGCAAAAAATTTGAATAAACATTTCTCCAAAGAAAATACATACAGATACTCAAAATAATCAGCTCCTAGGAAAATGCAAAATCACCACTTAGGATGATTGTATCAAAAAAACAAAACAAAAAAAAAACAGAAAAAAGTATTGGCAAGGGGAACCAGCAGTTAGCGTAATGGCTATGTCGCTGGACTCCCACGTAGTCGACCGCGGTTCGTGTCCCGGACCCAGTGGCTTAAAACTCATGCCGGGCACGTGTGCGTGCGTGCCCAAGATCCCGAGAGGAGAATGGAGGAGAAGGGATTGCGGCGTGACCATTCCCCCTGGGGGGTGATTTCTCGCTTTCTGTCTCTATGTCTCTCTCTGTCTGTCTGGCGAGCGCACGTGCCCTGCA